AATGTTTAGACACTCGTCTTCTGGCCGTTGGATTACCGGCTTTGGTCTATAGGGTTTGGCCAAAAGTGTTGCCATGTGATACATGTAGCCGGATACTGGAGTATATAAATAATTCGATTTTAGATGTTGTTGATTTCGGATGATAGTAATGATGATATTTTTGAATCAAGGGATGATGTTCGAGCGAGTACGGGACTGCAGTAGAAATATGTACAATTTTGAGCTAATAATAATTAATTATTAATAAAAATTGACAGCATTTCGTTTTTTGCATATGAATGTTTGCACACTAGGTTTCGAATATTACAATTACAGGTTTTGAAATGTTGTGATTGTATAAAATGACGAGTTGCCTCAATTGATTTTGAATCTTACATTATGAAATAAGATTCAGAATCCATTGGGAAAATTCGACGACTTGGGAAGGTTGATTTGCTGCCAAATCTGTTTAAAAACCGTCAAGCAACTTCTCTAGTAGTTTAGATTTGAAAATTGTAAAAGGAGGAGCTAANGAAGAAGCTAATATTATGCATATCGATCATTATTCGATAAAAAATACATAAATATATGCAAATGCAACACTTCAAAAACGCCACAAAATGTATAAATACTATTATTAATATACATATATAAATACGTTTCTTAGAAGCCATGAATTCTAGTCTTGCAGCTTAGAGCATAGTAAAATTGTACGTAATAATTATTTGTTTAAATAATATAATATTTAGATTAAGTTATATAATTATTGATATTAATATTGTAACGGTATGGGCGGGCACGATTCTGGCAGTGTTGCCAGTGTAAAATAGCGCGGTAAAAGGATACTGAAGAATCATTGATGCGACCAAAAAAGACCTTAAAAATCTATTACTTTAAAAGTTACAATGGTTTTAAATCGGAGGAAAAAAATATTTCTTTTCTTATTGAATAAAACTGTAGAGATATTCAATAACTACGCACTAATTCACTTCGAAAGAGTGACCACTGTTTCTCAACATTTATGTCACGCACCTTTCTGGGCCTTCTTAAATTTATCAGAGGCAAAAAAAGAACGCTACGCTCCCCACACTACAAGACAAGATGGGTTGAGGAGGCATATTATCATAATCAATATTATTTAATAAATTATTATTTATCTTGACATTCTGAAAAAGGAATTCTGATCGATTTTCCTCCATCCATTGAAACGAACTCACAAAAATCTACTCTTTCTCTCTCTCTGTCTTAATATTGGTTGTAGTACATCATTTTTGGTCGCATCACATTTAATATTATCAGATGGTTTCGTGCGCGGTTCTCTAAGCTTATTATCATTGGTTTCACACTCGGCAACCGCTCACGAAAGTAATATCTAGTCTACGAACGTTTTCCGTCTGTATTTGGCGAAATAACAGTTATTTTTGTCAATATATTAACTAAAAGATGTATGTATAAAATTGTTAAATACTATTATGTACTTATAGGCCCTTTTGTAAATGCGATTCTTACGTGCTCAGTGGACGAGTGGGCTCAGTTTAGTTTATATTACAAATGTCCTTGATAACATCCATCAGAATGTATAATTTGCTTATTTTTAAGTTATATCGGGTGTATTTTCATAGAAAGATATAGTCGGAAATCTTAAAAAAAGCATTTCGAAGTCTTAATAAAATAATGTGGGATGAATCTGCTGCCAATGTGTGGGGGACTGTATTTGACAGTTTGAGAACCAGTGTCTTTCTGTAGGTATGTTTATAAAAGGTTTTAAATATGAATGTAAATTGTTTCGTGATTATTTTCACCGCTCGTCCACTGGGCCGCTTCAAGCGATGCGCTGTTTCGTTTAAAGGTATGCACGCTCGTTTTTCAGTTTATTTTGCCATATTTTTTATATTTACCGAAATATGCACAATGAAATTTAAATAAAAGGTATTTGTCCTTGACAGTGTGGTTTTATTTTAGTTCGCCAATAACAATTGATTGAATTTTCTGTGTTTGTATTCAAGCGGGTACAAGGTATTATTGGTTATTGAAAAAATCATTGTTTTCTAAGAAGTAAATATTTATTAACCCATTTAGCCCTACCGTACCCTATGTGGTACAGTATCTTTTTGAAAATATTTCGAAGTACCAAACTGTTATTAATTTGTAAAAATGATTGTGACAGTAAGCTTAAAGTGATTATTTTACATAAAAACATTTAATAATATGTTTTAACAAGTGGTTTCGGAAATATTTATGAAATTCCTCGACAGAAAACAAAAACAATATTTACAATGTATTTAAGAAGGTATAATTTCTTATTATTCATGGTAAATTATATTATTTATCAATTTTTTTTTTAAAATAGAGTACAATAGATATCATGACTACAAAAAAATATTATTGAGATAATTTTTATACAGTTTATTCCCGTCTAAAATAGGTGTACCGTATAAGGTACAGTAGGTCTATGCATGAGCAAATCGTGCGAAAAATAAAATTTAATTTTTATTATTTTTATTGTTTCAGGCAATTGATGCTTCACTTTATTGCCACAAATCATGAAATATTTAATAATTTCAGCAAACATAAAGCAATTTTGGTATTTTTCTACTACTGTCTTGTCAGATGACCGCTAATGATGATCAGACTGACGAAGATTTAGGCGATAAAGATAGTGTCAATGTAAATAATAACCCTCAGAGTTTTCTCCGATGGATTTGCTAAATTTCCATCGTCGTGTTGCTAAATGCGATTATAGATAGCAATAAACGTAATAAATCAGAAGAAGCCAGATCTTCTTCAGCTATCCTCACTAACTTCTGAGAAGGTAGGAAAAAAGAACCAACATGTGGTTAGTATCACAGAAAACGTCTTACAAGATATGCCAAGTGTGATACTAGTGATTATATGATTTTATTTTTATTTTATATCATACAAAAATAAATAAAAATCTTCTTTGAACAACAACTATGTTTTGCTTGCTTATAGACCTACTGTACCCTATATGGGACGGGCTCCCCACGGCCCCCTATTTATGGATTATTTTTTTAAATATTTTTTTCATGATTTTTGGGCTTCCCTTTGTAAGTTTTTGCTGAAAAATCAATTTTTATTTACAAAAATAATTATCGGTCTAAATGGGTTAAACCAGCGAAAAAAAGGAAATACTAATATAACTCCACTAAACAAATAAATGCTTTCTTGCATTAATAATACATTTTCAGCTGCTTTATATTACAGTTATGCTCGTTACAATAACGAGTAAAAGAGACACAACATAAAAAGTTACATAATTATAAAATAATGTTTTCTTTATTATTTCCATTACAAGTAAATAAAATAAAATCAAACCCAATTGCACAAATATTGATAATAATAATAAATAACACAATGAATGATTAACAAACATAGTATACGATTAGTAGGCGGTTATAAAGGTGAAATAAATTTCATCTTAAGTCCGGTCGCCGAGCGGATAGTATTTCGTACAATGACCCCAAGCTACCCATCCTTATCGCTCGCGGCTCTACGGCCGTCCGTCGCACAGTGAGTGTGCGAGCGCGACAGCAATATAATTACGCGCGAGCGATAAGGATGGGTAGCTTGGGGTCATTGTACGAAATTCATGCTCGGCGACCGGACTTTAGGCAGTGCAAAAACAGTAAAGACCATTCCAAGTCGAGTTCAAAAGCCTGTGATGTTATTGGTAACTAGTTTTCATCTTCACATTTTTCAAATTCTGAGCTTGAGTACTAACTCAGTCAGTGCCTGAGAAATGTTAGCGGCACTGGATGCTCTGTCATGTTATACACCATTACATTTTTATCACCGAAAAAATTTTAACAGGTTATGTAGAAACGTGTGAAAAATTTATAGCAGAAGAAAAATAAATGTTTTTCATAAAGTTAATTTTTTAATTAAATTTTCTTTAGTCCGTATTTTTCGTGTCACAGCTGGGTCACTCCGCTGCTCGCTAGAGTAGTCGTACGCGCTCGCATATTGCCCCGATCTGTTTGTCTCGCTCACGCCTCGACCACGCTTCCAGTGTTATTATTACATACTTAGCTAACTTAGACCATGTTGAGTTCTAATAAGTGTTACATTATCTTACGTAAATAGTGCTAACGACGCGTGTGTCTATAAATTACCAATTTTAGGATGAAATTTTGAGTAACTTTATTTAACTTTTTTTTTGCATAAATAGGATCAGTATCAATAACTCATTACCCAGATTTTTTTTTCGGTGATAAAAATTTTGTGGTGTATACCTCAGGCACTGGAGTTAAGCACTATACCTTATAATACATATTGTGATTCTTTAACAGTGTGATGAATAAACATATTTTGAATAATACAACAAGGTAAAAATCAATCTAATATTACTATCCTAAGAATAATGTTTGAAAACTGCGTAGCGTAGGTAAAGATACTACAAGACTTTTTCATTAAACTTTTACATCATTGTAACGTTATTATAGGCTATTTGAATAGAGCTATTAAGCACTGTCTTATGTAGTTTTTATAGGTACTATTTTTCAATAAAAACGTGTAGTCTGATTGGCTAGCAACGACATACATTTATACTAAAGTCCGGTCGCTGAGCAGATGGAATTTCGTACAATGACCCCAATGAGTAGCTTGGGGTTATTGTACGAATTTCTATCTGCTCGGCGACCGGACTTTACCCGTAGACAACAGACTTTCAGTCGGCCTATAGTTTTGTCGGCTCTAATTTGTTTATGGAATCGGAAGATACCAAATCGGCCGTTTTGTGTAGTGGTTCAGAACGGACTACTATGCCGAGAGGTCCCGGGTTCGATTCCCGGCCGGGCAGAAATTGAAGTGATGAATTTTAATTTCTGTGACGGGTCTGGGTGTTACTATGTATAATATGTATGTATTTAAAAAAAAAGTATATAAGTAGTATATCCGTTAAGCTAGCACCCATAACACAAGCATTAAGTTGCTTACTTTGGGGCTAGCTGGCGATGTGTGAAATTGTCCAAAGATTTATTATTATTATTAAATCAGTGTAGTGTGCGTACTTCCATACATGTTCATACTGACTGATTAACAGCCCGACCGACCCAACTATCGGCCGACAAAAAGTGTAGACAGCAGGGTATCTATGTTAATACTAGACAGTATCAATGTTAATAAACACAAAAACTTATTATAAATGTTCGATATGCAATTTTAGTGCCTGAATCNGTCAGTCAGTTTCTCCTTTTATATATTTATAAGAAGATACTTAGCTAACTTAGACCATGTCGAGTTCTAATAAGTGTTACATTATCTTACGTAAATAGTGCTAACGACGCGTGTGTCTATAAATTACCAATTTTAGGATGAAATTTTGAGTAACTTTATTTAACTTTTTTTTTGCATAAATAGGATCAGTATCAATAACTCATTACCCAGATTTTTTTTTCGGTGATAAAAATTTTGTGGTGTATACCTCAGGCACTGGAGTTAAGCACTATACCTTATCCCAACTAATATTATAAATGCGAAAGTAACTCTGTCTGTCTGTCTGTCTGTCTGTTACGCTTTCCCACTTAAACCTCTCAACCGATTTTGATGAAATTTGGCATAGAGATAGTTTGAGTCCCGGGAAAGAACATAGGATAGTTTTTATCCCGATTTTTGAAACAGGGACGCGCGCGATAAAGTTTTTCTGTGACAGACAAAATTCCACGCGGGCGAAGCCGCGGGCGGAAAGCTAGTAATACATAAATTGTGATTCTTTAACAGTGTAATGAATAAAAATATTTTGAATAATAATACAACAAGGTGAAAATCAATCTAATATTACTATCCTAAGAATAATGTTTGAAAACTGCGTAGCGTAGGTAAAGATACTACAAGACTTTTTTATTAAACTTTTACATCATTGTAACGTTATTATAGGCTATTTGAATAGAGCTAAACACTGAGTCTTATGTAGTTTTTATAGGTACTATTTTTCAACAAAATCGTTTAATCTGATTGGCTAAAGCCTGGTCCGTGAGCACGTAGAATCCCGTCCAATGACCCCAAGCTGCCCATCCTTGTCGCTCGCACGTAATTATGTTGCTGTCGCGCTCGCACACTCACTGCGGGCGCGCGTCGCACAGTCGCGACAGCAATATAATTACGCGCGAGCGATAAGGATGGGTAGCTTGGGGTCATTGTACGAAATTCCATCTGCTCAGTGACCGGACTTTACCCATAGATAACAGACTTTCAGTCGGCCGATAGTTTTGTCGGCTCTAATTTGTTTATGGAATCGGCCGATACCAAATCTGTGTACTGTGCATACTTCCATACATGTTCATACTGACTGATTAACAGCCCGACCGACCCAACTATCGGCCGACAAAAAGTGTAGACAACAGGGTATCTATGTTAATACTAGACAGTATGAATGTTAATAAACACAAAAACTTATTATAAATGTTCGATATGCAATTTTAGTGCCTGAATCTTGTTATCGCTGACAATCTTAACATCGTCTTTTATATCTCCATGAAAACGGGCCATGTGGTTACGAAGCAACGTCTTCCTTATAGATCTATACCCACACTGAGGCACCGTACAATGGAACGGTTTGACCCCAGTGTGGGTTGTCTCATGAGAGAGCAAATTCTCTTTCCTTGTAGCTAAATAACCGCAATACTGACATTTGAAACCGTCACCGAGGTGTACCGCTGTAACATGTTTCTGCATCTCATATTTATGCTTACAAATATACTCACACTTCGTACACTTGTACTCGTAGTGAGACTTCTGATGCATAACGTATTGACACTTGTAGTTTGTTGTGAACTGGCATAAATTACAGCTCATAGGGACTTTAGATTCGCTTCGTTTATTGTGCAACGCTATCTGATCTTTAGTTTTCGTTGCAAAGTCACAATTAACACATTTGTACGGACGAATCTGGGAGCTTGTGTGGTGTCTCTGAAAGTGTCTTTGGACTGACGCTTTGAAACGCGATGTGTAGTTACACATATGGCATAGAAACGGTCGATCCTTGTTCTCAGATTCTAAAACTTGAATGTTCTTCCATTCTACGAACCCATCTAGCATATAATTATGTGTTGCATGATCTTTTTCTTTTGCTTTTTCATTTTCTTCCTTCAGGAANTTCAGGAACTGAAATTCTTTATTTGTGGTAGTTATTGAATCGGTTGGTTGGTCTTCCATTTCTAGAGGTATTTGGTTCTTTTTATACACTTTTGTGTGAGTCCTTTTATGTTTTTTGTTTTCGCACATGAAATAAGTTTCGAAATCGCATGACTCGCATTTCAACATCTCTTTTTGTTTACTTCTAACCTTATGAGCGGTCAACCTCCAATTTACCTTAGTTGAAAAATCGCAATATTCACACTTGTTTGCTTTGTCCGAAACCTCATTGTGTATTTTGGCCATATGCCTAGTGATGTGGCCATCATATTTCGTCACAAATGGACACTTATCGCATTTATAAACCATATTATCGTTGTGCGTTTTACTGTGTTTAAGAAAGTTATGCCTGTACGCTGTAGTATAATCACATTCACTGCATTGAAACTGTTTGTTATCTTTATGCTTTCGCATATGAGCGTTCAGGTTCCATTTGTAATAAGTAGTATAGTCACAGGTGCCACATTTATAATTTGGTGACGACCTCATTTTGCTCAACTGCTCTTCCGATTGGTGTTTTATAGCCATATGCCTGTTCAACGCTGTAGGATATTTTGTGCTGTAGTCGCAGAGTTCGCAAGAGTTTGGCTTCACTCCTCCGTGACCCAGTTTGTGGAGCTTCAAGCAGTTTTTGTACGTTGTAGTATAATCACACACGTCACATTTCAATAGTGGTTTTTGTTTCTTTCTTGTTGATTCTCTGAAGTGGGTGCTGTGAAAATATAATAATAAAAATAGTAAATTTGAGAGTAAATTGAAATAAATGATTACTGCTTTAAATATAATTTAATGTTAAACATATTTGACATAATTTGAAGTAATTATAAACTAACTTGTCAAAACCCTGGACACACAACACACAACTGCTTTCTCATAGAAATTAAAGTTACTTTTGGTTTCTTTGTGAGTCAGTCTTTATACAAATGTTTAAAAAGCTATTATGGTTAAAATAATATGTTGTCAATGATCAATCAAATACATAAGTAAATATTTAATGTTCAACAAAAATATTCAAGAAGCGCAGTGTAAATGTCCAAGGATAGTTATATTTATTCAAGACGTAAAAAATAAATTTAACATCTCATCTGCATCAGTTGTTTTTACGAGTAGAAAATACTTACATATCAGGTTCAACGACGATATTGCTCGGGGCTTCTTCTTCCATCTCGACCTTCACCCAGACACTCGTGAACATGTTCATGACGTTCTCTTTCAACATCGGGTCTTGGTTATCAGAATCTATGGGTTCTTCTATGGCAGGCACTTGGAGGATCATACAATCCTGTGCATCGGTTTCTTGGGATGTGTCCGGTTGATCCATAGTTACTGAAAATTTAAATTTCATGAGTAAAAAAACTGATGTAAGTGCATTTTATTTATTTAAACTACAAGCACATAAAACAGTGTACATAAGGCGGACTCAATGTCTTTCGGCATTTTCCTCCAGTCAACCATTTGTGATGTCATTTTGTGGTTGAGTAAAATGAATAGGCACTTTTGGATATGGAAGAACTGTAAATAATGCATACTTTATTATTTAAAGAGCGCAATTAAGAATTATTATTTCATGTTTTTTGGAAAACAGAAATGTGTATTTAAAAAATAAAAGTAGCTCCTCTTTTAAAGCGAGGGTGTTCTGCGAGTAAATTCAGCCCACATACTTTTTAGTAGGTTGGTTTGAAATGCAACAAAATAATGTAAAATGTATTTCTGTCTTTAAATTGACTATTTACAAGTAAGTTTTACCTAAGGTTGACCAAATGGTTCGATGAGATAGTAAATTCGTACTAAAACGAATAAATTTAACAGCAAATGAGGACATCTATTTCAATTATAAGACAAGACATGAAGACATAAACATCTGCAATCACTTCCACTTTTTACTAAGAAAATAATCATTTTGGGTCCGTTTTACAGGTTTCTAGTCATAAAAAAGATAAGAACTTAACTTACATGGTTAAATTTGTTACTTTATCGGCATTGAAAGTGTAGTTTCACAATAAAAAGAACAAAAAGGCCAAAAATCAATCGACTCGCACAAGCCTCAAATTGTATTTTTTTTGTAGCCGATGACAGATTTGACGGAAAGGATTACGTTCAAAAACCTAAAGATTTAAAAAAAAAATTGGATTTTTTCTGATTACAAAATACTTATAGATAGTTTTACAAAAGTATTTCGCAACTATAATGAACTATAAATCTTGCCCATTTCGGGCATTCTTGCCATATTCTTGCCGACCTTGCCGTACTATTTTCGTGAACTTCGTGAATTTCGTTTTGAAATTCGTAATTCTTAGAAACTAAAATAAAAAATCGATTGGAAAAATAAATCGTAAAGATTCGTAACAAAAGTGTTCTTAGCTTTTTTTTTGTATGGCAAGAGTCTCTTGTCACCAGTGTCATTTGTGGTCATTTGTGATCAGCTGTCAAAATAAATCTGCCCAGTGCCAGTGCCCGATTTCTATCAAAACATTTTCGTATTGGAACTCTAAAACAGCAAAAAAATATTAAAAATGTACACAGAAGTAGACGTATTTGTCGGTAATTATACTTTAATTGATCCCGAGATATATCAGCTGTGGATTGACGGTTGTTCCTGTAAGTAGGTATTTCATTAATTTGATAACCACATTCTTGGTAATATTATACCACAAGATAAAATCATATTAGATAACTATTTTTGGCTGTGCTCGAATGTTATGAATGCCAGCATTACGATTAGCATTCATGAAGATATGTAGCATAAAATAAACATAATTTTTAATCCTGTTGTTGATATGTTTGTTGATATTGTATACTATGTACTAGGTTCACGTCCCGTGAAGTACAATAAAATTGTGTTTAATGTACCTAATAGTTAAGGAAATTTACAGCCTCTTATTCCTATTAAATGGTTCCATAATGTTGGTACACACAACAGCACATCAGTTTGTCTGTCGTCTGTACATAAGTAGATGTACACAACACAAGACAAGAAAAGAAAGAAATACTCAAAAGAGCACTATTTAGGCAGCCTTATCCATATAAAGCACAGGTTTATTTTACAGTTGGAAAATATCATAAGACCCATTATTCAATACTGATAGAATGTAGGAATAGGTACGTCAAATAACCAAATAAATATTTCAGCCAGTGAAGCCGTGTCTACGTTGCATCAGAGAAACATCGCTAAACAGACCGGAGCGTCGGTGGAACTGATTGCCAGCGATGTGTTGGATCATTACCGGTAAATAATCACCTGTCTTTGTCAATTTGGTACGCTGTATAGTTGTTTCACACTGAACTGTCCCAGCTATGACATTGACAGGAGGGGACCACCATTAATACTAATAATATGGAGTTACTAGCGGCCGCCCGCGACTTCGTACGCGTGGAATTTTGTCTGTCACAGAAAAACTTTATCGCGCGCGTCCCTGTTTCAAAAACCGGGATAAAAACTATCCTATGTTCTTTCCCGGGACTCAAACTATCTCTATGCCAAATTTCATCAAAATCGGTTGCGAGGTTTAAGCGGGAAAGCGTAACAGACAGACAGACAGAGTTACTTTCGCATTTATAATATTAGTTGGGATTAGTCCCATTTTTTGTCAATTAATATTTCAGAACCGTTTGACTTTACACTGGATCCCTAAGGCTACGGTCTCCTATAAAAGCTATACGCGGCGACTAACGTCAACGTCAAACGTTCCTACTTCTAAACGCCGACATAAACGTCTGAAAGACACCACAACACAACAGCCCCCTTAGACAAAACGCACTTTTTGATCGAATCGAAAATCGAATCCGTCAAAACTCCATACAAAAAAGGGGCTTTTTGACCACTTTTCGACTGGTTTGCGATTATAATTTGCACTTTGTCTAGACCCACTGTACATTTCTACAATCAGCATTGTGACGTGGCCTACGGCTTTTACAGGAGACGAGGAGACCACGACCTAATATGAGCCCTATAAGTGTGATTTACCAGCAATCTGAGGGCTGGCCTAGGGCGGCAAATCTGTAAATCCGCCACTGCCGCATTGTCTTTCAGACGTCGACGTCGGCGTATGGACGTCGACAGGAACGTTTGAAGCTGACGTCGTAAACCCGTATAGCGTTTAGTAGGATACGTATGTTTTGTTTTTCAGCACATTTGCCCTGTTGGAGCGACTCCTCACAGTCCCATCGAAGTTATCCGAGCAGATGATCTTCCAAATTGACGAGCAGACAAAGCAGATGCTTATTGAAAAGTAAGTTACATGGTAAAAGAAACATCTGATTGTTTCCTGGATAGGCCAGGACTTTAAAGGTCATAGCAGACTTATCAACTCTGAAAGGGATCAACACCGTATCGCCTATCCTAAAATGCAGTGCCCGACAGGGTCCATAATTGTATCTTACCTTACCAATAACACCTTTTGTAAACATTATGGAAGCAATAAACTATTGAGTATTGAGTATCGCGAGCTGTCATAACCTTTCGCACGCTGTCAAACTCGAAGCGAGGCGTTGGCGTTACGGTGCCGATAAGTGTGCGTTGCAGTATGAGTTTTATTACAAAGAATATTGACCGCCTCGAGTTGATACGGCTACGATCCCTTTCCGGGTTGATAAACGTCCTTAAAGCGGTTGTCCCCTGATCGGACTAAGTTGAGAAAATGTTTGTTTTAGGTATTACGATTTGGACGATGCAGTCATCAGAGAGTTGTTGGGAAGAAAATTGTCGTCGCGGCATCGGAAGGATCTTGATGAGGTTGGTAATCATCATCAGGTCATTTAGTCTCCACTGCAGGAGAACAACCCTCTCTAATTTACCAGAGGCAAGATTTCCTGCTACCTTTATCAGGTCGTCGGTCCACCTTGTGGATGGACGTCTAGGGTTTCTGATTTCTCGACTTATTTTTTTTCTCGAGTTTCGGGAATTCTCGAGGCCGAAGTCTCGAGTTTTCTCGGGTCTCGAGTTTTTTTATTAAAACTGTTGAAATCGGCTGAAATTTAATAAAAACACAGGTTTTTTTTTCATCTAATATACCTACTTTTATTGCACAAAACTCAACATTAGAATTTAGTACCACTTATTTGGGTAAGGAAAGAAAGAAAAAATAAAATATTTCATAATTAATATTAACTAATAATCATTAATTAGTAATTAATGAAAGGAACAAAAGTCATAAAGTCGCGTGTAATTTATGGATAAATATCAATAAAAATCTGAAGCTACAATTGAATCACTTGTTTTCCAAAGAACACTAGTCCAAATTAACAGCAAAATTACGATAATAAACCTACATTTATAAACAAAAAAAAACCTAACCTAACAGACAGTTAACATATTTTTCAATCTTTAAATCAGTCAGTTACACAGACATAATAAACATAGCATACCTATTACCTACTCGTTGGTGAACATTATTAGTTTCGATTGAGATCATTACTTGCAAATCAAATAAGTTAAAAAAGGAAAGACGGGCCAGTCTAAAAGCACTGTTAACCTATAAAATAATTAAAAAAAAACTTATTTTTGTCTAAGAAAATAGGTTTTCAAGAATATTAAATCTTCAAAATCGAAACTCGAGAATTCTCGAGCTCCGGTAAATTTTTCTCGTCTCGAATGAAGCCAAATTTCTCGAGTTTTCTCGAGTTCGAGAAAGCTCGAGCAGAAACCCTATGGACGTCCCACGCTGCGTATTCCGAAGTACGAAGGCGCTGGATGCAGGCCGCTACCAACCGTGCAATGTGGAAGTCATTGGGGGAGGCCTATGTTCAGCAGTGGACGTACTATGGCTGAAATTATGATGATGATGATAAAGAGGATTTTTTTTAATGATTTTTGTCTTCAAGTCGCCTTTTATGATATCAATGTTTGTTTTGTTTCCTCTTCCCGTGGATGTCGTAAGAGGCGACTAAGGGACAAATGCGAGCATCAGGCCTCCCCAACCCGTCTGGCCAGCGTGGGGAGTGTAGGACAAATCCTCTTGCCTCTGGTCAATTAGAGGCATGCTCCTGCAGTGGAGACTAAAGAACGAAATTAATATAATCACGAAGTAACTGAGGCGGTCAGTATTCTTTGTATGAAACTCCATACTGCAACGCACAGTACGCACACTTATCCGCACCGTAACGTAAACGCCTCGCCTCGCGACGAAAGGCGATACGAATTACGATGTTGATCCCTTTCTGGGTTGATTAGTGTGCTTACCTTAAATGACCTGACGATATAATTGAAATAAAGTTAGGTCACCGAGCAAATCGAATTTCGTCCAGTGACCCCAAGCTCGCCATCCTTATCGCTCGCGCGTAATTATATTGCTGTCGCGCTCGCACACTCACTGCGGCCGCCCGTCGCACAGTCGCGACAGCAATATAATTACGCGCGAGCGATAAGGATAAGCTTGGGGTCACTGGACAAAATTCTACGTGCTCACGCACCAGGCTTTAGTTTATGTTGTTGAGTGTTATCGGTACACGCTAAATGATCCATGAGTGCACACGCACACTACAATAATGCCTTACGGATTGCTCGGACCACACTCCCCGTACCCCGCGCGACCGAGACCAAACATTGGTGGGGCGCGTCCGAGTGGATGACACGATCTATAATTAGCAATAAGAGTAGATGCCATTCAAATGGCAATGCCAGATTTTGTATGGAAGGTGGCGTCTTTTTTTTTTCGCGCGGCCATCGACCAAACTTTGTTTTTTGATTACAAAATAGTGTAATAAACCAAACTCACTATGGAATGTATACCTCTAAACTCAGTCTGAACTGAGTTACGAGCATTAGAAGTTTGATGATTTTCATACTAGATTTGCTTTTTCCGCGCAAGTTTTGTAAGAAATTGCAACAAAATTTTGCGCTATTTTTTATTGCGCTGATTCTGCTGCATACTGATGTCTGGAGCCTTTAATGGATGGTATTGTTTGTTTACACATACAATGTCACTATTTTGTTGCAATTTCTTACAAAACTTGCGGGCAAAAAGAAAATCTAGTATGTAAAATCATCAAACTTCTAATGCTCGTAACTCAGTTCAGACTGAGTTTAGGGGTATACATGTCATAGTAAGTTTGGTTTATTACACTATTTTGTAATGAAAAAACAAGGTTTGGTCGATGGCCGCGCGAAAAAAAAAGACGCCAATTTCCGGCATTGTCTTTTGACTCCTATTCTAATCACAATAGGTGTCAGAACGTTCTGGCGCGCCGCTGCGTTGTTGTCGCCGTCAGTTTGACAACGTGCGTCGCGTGTTCAAGGCGGTCGAAGAGATACCAGGCAACGTGGTGTCAAATATCCGCACCACGTTCTTACTGTCAGAACCGCTAGCTAAGTGAGTAAAAATATAGGCATAATGTGTGATATGATTTTATTCTGACTCAATCACAATCATGATCCGGATAATGATGTATGACTTATATCACAGAATAATAATAAGTACTACGTACAGAAGGTTTACTTCGCAAAGGTATTTAAAAAAATGCATGCTCAATGTCATTAACAATATGGTGCAATTTAGCCTGTCTCACGAGTCAAGCACCATTTTGTTGACAAACGTCAGTGATCGGTACTGCGCCGAAGCCATAGGGCTGACTTCGGTAAAATGATGTGTGACGTGAGGTGCCAAACTGCAGAAAATGGCGGAGGAAATACATAATTAAGCATGAATTATCACCACTTATTTACCTCTCAGTGTCTTCAGGCAACTTAAAAAGTAAATTCTGTTTTTATTATTATTTAGGCAGTTAAATACTGCACAGTATTTAGTACACCATTTTCATTATTTTTATCCATACACAAGAATACGCGTGCGTGAGTCAATGCTCGCTCGTATGTGAGGCCTTGTCGAATAGTATCCTGTAGGTGGGCCATCGTGCTTGTTTTGTTTTCGATGTAAACTCGCGGAGATGAACAGGACTGCTTATATGATTTTATTAACACTTCTCTTAATCATAATTATGCGCCTATTTAACGGGGGAGCCGGGTGGGCTCTAGCCTCAGAATGGTCTACCCAAGGATGTTGGTCTTTGAAGATAACTTAACTTTTAAGTAACAACTAAGCCTGGACACCTCTTCTTTCTCCTCGGCATACATCAATGAGTTTTAAGCAGGGCAATTGAAACCTCGCCTCTTGATTGGGCCATTCTGCGATAGTCATTAATCATAGTCATAATAATGATCAAGATTGTAATCATAGTCATAATCATGATCATGATTGTAATAATAGTCATAATCATGAGCAATGTAATAGCGAAAACATTTTTTTACAGAAAATACGGTGCCGTTGTGTTCATAGCGTGCATGCGATTCGAAACGGCCAAGAGGAAGCTGCAATATCTGTCGTTCAACGACTTCTATCATTGTGCACAAGTAAGTAGAATTTGTATATTTTGTATACAGGGTGTAAAGAATTGGGTACTTGACACCACAGTCTTTCCCGAACATTATAATCCGAGCCTTTTCAAGGCGAGAGTGAGAAGGACACTTACAGGGCAGATATGTACCATCCTAGACTGCATCTCACTTATCATCAGTAGCGATTGCGGTCAAAAACTTGCTTTGTTCTGCGTAAAAAAAGGAAATTCTATTATAAATAACGATATGCCTACCTCTGTGTGACGTCACCCATAACCAGTGTGAGTGCGAAAGCAAAATGTGATATGCACTGTTTTATTATTACACCGCCTGCCACGAGTCTTTGCGCAGAGTATAGTATACAGTGTGGCAAGCAAATTTTTGGAAATCTTTGAATGCAGTTCTATTTCTTTTCAAAAATAAAGGAATGTTTTCTTTGAGAAAAATTTTCTATCTACTATATTAACAGTACTTTCCATCCAGGTGGCATTACAAAATTCCACCCTGTATACATTTTTTCCTTTCTCAACAGGCTATAATGGGCAGCTGGACATACAGTTGCACAGGACCAGAGTACTACGATACAGAAATGGACCGAGAGTTCCTTCTGGAACTCAGGGAGTTGAGGATCCTGCTGGATAAAGAGAAAGAACATAAGCAGTAAGTATTATTTTATTAAACCTTCATTGTTGCCACCATATTTTAAACTTTTTAAGATAACTTACAGTTCAAAACCTAGGTGAAAACTAGTTTTTCCTGGGTCATAAAACTATATAGGTACCAAATTTTATCAAAATCGAGTTTAAGCGTGAAAAACAGACAGATGGAGTTTCAAATCAATTGAATTTATAATGTAGGTAAACATGGATGGAAACCGTGCGTTGTGGAAGTCATTGGGGGAGGCCTATGTTCAGCAGTGGACGTCCTGTGGCTAAAATGATGATGATGATGAAACATGGATTACCAATAATTTAATTTACTATTTGTTTGTTTGCAGTTTAATTTGTATGCGCCTCAAGCCGAAACTCCTAGAAAAGTCATACCAAGAACTGGAACTGAACTTTAGGTGAGAATTTGTTTCTAAGAATGTAAGCCAAATCCTTCATTAGCCGACTGCGTCAGAAGGACGGTTATGTTTTTGCCTCTGGTGAATAGGGATGTATAAAAGGTTTTTTTTTTTCTTTATTTATTTAGGGACTTTTACATAGATGTACGTCAGTCCCATCATAACCTAACATCTTGTAAAGAAAAAAGGTAAAAAGGCAAGAGTTTGAATTAGTCCGTCAGTTGACTTATCAAAAAATACTGGACACGTATTTTTTACTTTTAAAAACTAATGAAAATTGAAGATAAAGTTCAAAAGAGGCCCATGACGTCAAGGAGTGCTTAAAAGTGTAGCACTTTGTGACGTCACGCGGATCTTCAACGCACCATAACTTCGTAATTCTTAAACTTACTTGTTTGATTGATAATATAATTGACGGACTAAAAGTTTTTTTTAGGAAACTAGCCTATTATAGACGTCCTGCGGAGACTACATGACCTGAGGTGGAATTGTGTAAAGCAATCGTAATCATTTGACAGTTCATAACGTACGATTATGCTGTCAAACGCTTTGTATAACTGACTTTATCGTACGTTATGAACTGTCAAATGATTACGATTGCTTTACACCAGTGTTTTTCAACCTTTTTCATGACGCGATCCCCATAGTATGAAAAAAATTTTTCGACCCCCCGACCGTTTGCTTTTTTTTCATGCCTTTTACAAAGATGTTGTAGGGACAGAATTCTTTAATCTATACAACATTTAGAGTAGGCGCACACCGTTGATTTTTAGTTGGCCGATAGTTGTGCCCGATTTTAATTTGTACTAGCTTTCCGCCCGCGGCTTCGCCCGCGTGGAATTTTGTCTGTCACAGAAAAACTTTATCGCGCGCGTCCCTGTTTCAAAAACCGGGATAAAAACTATCCTATGTTCTTTCCCGGGACTCAAACTATCTCTATGCCAAATTTCATCAAAATCGGTTGCGAGGTTTAAGCGGGAAAGCGTAACAGACAGACAGACAGACAGAGTTACTTTCGCATTTATAATATTAGTTGTAAGTTGTATAATATTAGTTGGGATGAAGAATCGGCCAAATCGAATCGGCGTAGTGTGCGCACTCCCATACATGCCCATACTGATCAACTGCCCGACTAAACTATCGGCCGACGAAAAATCAACGGTGTGCGCCTACTCTTATGCATTTGCATAATTAGATTTCGAATAAATCTAGGTTTAAAACTTCTCTGACTTTTTTACTGGGGTAGTTTTTACATCCTTTCGCGACCCCCCAGGGGTAGGGTTGCCAGGTCCAAAAACACACTATGTGCTTCATTTGGCCGGACATTTTACCCTAAAAGCCGGGTGCAATTAGTGAGTGCTATCATCATCGGTTGCCTAACGTCCTGATGCGTGCGTGCTTTATTCTGTGGCTCGACTTTCGCCTAGCGCGGCAGCCAAATAAAAAGCCTAACAAAAGCCGGACAGGCCGGACATCGGTTATTTTGGCCGGACACGCAATCAGAAAGCCTAACTATGTCCGGCTTTATCCGGACGCCTGGCAACCCTACCCAGGGGGGTCGCGACCCACAGGTTGAAAAACACTGCTTTACACAATTCCACCTCTGATGATGATGATGTTTATTTCCCAGGTTATACACTCGGGCTCTCGTGGGCCTGGCGTGCAACTTGCATAGAGGCCGCGAGTTACGATCGTTGTTCATTGACCTTCTGGAAAGGTAAGCATATACACTATACAGGATTGATATGATTGTTACCTGTTGTGTTGACTTACTTGACTTAAGGTCCTGTTGGCGGTGGATGTCTTGCAGTTCATAAATGAAAAGCCGTTTCTTCAAAATGGACTGTATTTTAAATTAAACCATTGTTCAATGCAAAAACCATGACAAAAGTTCAATGAACCCTTAGACAGCTCACAAGTCAATGACATATTTTATATTTAAATCTAGGGCTAACACCACAAAGGTTCATTCTAAATCAAGGAGTCTATTAACAGCTAACACGATAAAGGTTCTTGCTTATCGCGTCGCTAACAGGTCAGGCAATCGTTTAGTTTCATAATGCGAACAGCTAGGGACTGGAATTCGCGAACAATATAATTCGGGCCTTTTAAAGGCGAGAGTGAATAGGCACTTACAGGGCAGATATGTACCATCCTAGACTGCATCCCACTTAACACCAGGTGCGATTGCGGTCAAATACCTGCCTTGTTGTGCATTAAAAAAAAATCAAGTTAAAAAAACCTCCTTTTGGGTTTAAGATTCTGTTGTGCTTTTTTTGGTCCCCAAATAAATGTAGCTTTTTTTAAAATACATTGCTATCCGAATTCATTATTTCACCCTGTATATTTCAGATGTATAGAACCGTTGCGACTGGGTAGCTGGCCCAAGACAGATCTGGCCCAGTTTTTGTGCGCGTACGAACAGTGTGCACTACAGATGGATGTATTAAGGTTACTACAAAACACTAACTTTTGCATTGTCGTTATTACAAAACACTAACTTTTGCCCGCGGCTTCACCCACGTGACATTCAGTTTGTCTTAATATACGTTAGATATACAGGGCGTCCCAGAATGGGTGAATCAAACTGCTATAGGAGGTAGGTTGACCTCTGACCAACTTCTAAAAAATATAACGCACATGGCACCAATTCTGGGACACCCTGTATATCCGTTGATGGGTGATTGATTTGTTTGAACAAAAAGCAGCTATTCCCATGATAAAGAATTCAAAATTTTCCAAAAAAAATTACCGTTAAAAATATAATTATTGATACTCCTTC